TTATTTCCAACCGGCTGAATATTGTGCAGCATATTCGACAGTAGAGGTAGATGCTACTCTGTTAAATTGCTACTGGTGTCTGCATCCCATTCTGTTTACTCACAGGCACCATTGACCCCATCTTATCCTCCACAGCCATGCAAGTTACTAACGTTGAAAGACACGACGTCCACTAATAGTAGCTATGTACGGCATAGCATTTAGAAACTGTTAGGGCAGATATATTTTGATGCACTCACAAGTAGGGGGTTTTGATGTAATTAAATGAGGTTCTTCGCAGCCAGCTTCTAAACCAGCCAGTCATCCAAATGCCCGGAAAAGCACTAGACTGCAGTTTCAGCCTGTTGGGCATCATCATTAGTGCGCATCCATCGGATCCACCAGGATTCGAACCCATAACCACCAGTGGCTTGGACCCTAAGTGGCATAAGCTGCTGACTGGCGGTTCAAGTCGCTGGTGGTCATGGTTCGAATCCTGATGGATCCGATGGATGCGCACTACCGATGATGCCCAACAGGCTGAAGCTGTAGTCTAGTGCTTTTCCGGTCATTTAGATGATTGTCTGATTTGAAAGCTGGCTGCGAAGAAGCTCAAATAATTACATCAAAACCCTCTAATCATGAGTACATCAAAATACATCCGCCCTAACACTTTCTAAATGATATGCCGTATATAGCTACTTTTAGCAGACATCATGTCTTTCGGAACCATTGATCCCATCTTGTTTGCTGCTCTTCGTATTATATATTCCCTTCTATTCGACCTTATAATAGGCAGTTTTTAACTAGACGTCGAACAACAAATCAGTTACGAGATACATTATACACGGGAGAAAATGTACGCCTAAAGCACAGACACAATGCATACAACACCAAGTAGCTTTACGGTCTATGTGATGCGTATCTGACTGCTTCGCCAATGGCACAGAGTTCAGACTACTAGAGTCCATCTAGCTCGCTGTTAGGAAAACATCCTTTTACTATTTCCACGGGGTGTATTTTCCCTCACTTTATCTTGGGAATCAATCCGTGCACAAAGCCACGTTAATAAAGTATTTTTTGTTATCCAGTGTAGCATTCAGTGCACATGGCAACCGAGTACATTTGTGAAGAGAGTCTGATGAAAATCCCAGTTAGTGAAGTCACTACGAAGCTGCCTTGCAGCTGCGGCTATATGTATTCATGTCGTCCAGAAAACACCAGTCACAATTCCGAAAGATGCACATTACTTCATTCGATATTATGCAATAAGTTTGGAACCTAGCTGGAAGTCGTCATTCCAAAGGGTTTCGTAAACTACCGATTAATGTAGTTGTTGAATACGCAAGGTTTCGCTTTCGACTCAGCTTGATCAACTTCGCCTGAAGGATCTTTTGCGTTAAAAGTGAAACGTTGGGTATTTGAGAGATATTTTACCTGGTTGTTTTCACACCACTTCATGTCGTGTACCTGCAGCCAACTTGTACAGACAAGCAACAAACAATAAAAGGAGGCTTGCGCAGGGATATCTTCGATACTTCCAGTCAGGCATGTACATTTATGAGGAAGATTGAGAAAACATAGAAGCTAACTGGACCTGAAGTGAAAGTGGTCAGATCACAGTTTAAAATACGGTCAGTGGAGCAGATCGAGAGTTCTGTCTACAAGTCAGTTAATAGAAGTTACAATACCACGTCGCGCGTATACAAATGGAAATAGCGAAAGTAAGAACGAAGAGGCTGACGGAGAACAAAATTCACAGTTGGGCTGGGGCTTCTGTTACGGACAGAAACCTAGTTAAGGCCAAGGCAAACTGTAAGCTTGTATTAGCGCCCTTTATTTACATAACTCAGATTGTAATAGCGTGATCGCCACTGCTCTAGCGGTGCCAGCAGGCGCTTTCTGAGTCCTTTGGGGATGCGCTGCGACACAGTGTAAGCTACTTTGTATCCGTCGTCGGTCTGAACCTGACGCCCAATATAAATCAGATGTTCAAAGATAGAACAGTGTACATTCCTAACCATTTCCTGTTTTAGGGAGGCAGGATAATGTTCCGGTATCCTCTTAGAGAGAAGCCTAGTAGTGTGTATGACCTACCTTGCACCACGGGTGCAAGTGCATTGGTATAACACAGGTGATTCGGAACCAGCTAGGATCCTGTCACTGAGGAGGTTGGTGATGAGCGAAGCTGTCTTGGCAAGAATATGTACTCAAACAGCCGAATATGTTTGACCCACTACGATCGACAGTAACTCGAATGGGATATCCTCTTCGAAAGGAACCGAAATGAAGACGTACATTTTCTTTACAACTGGTATTGCCTTACGGTGGTCACACACAGCAGAATCTCTTTTGATAAACGAGGCGGGATACCCATTGGCTTGAAGGGTCTCAAGAAGGAACTCCTCAGCGTCTAAAGATTCTGGGCTTCAGACTCTTGCGGCGCGATAGTACAAACAGCGCAGGAGATTGCGCTTGTATTTCATTATCACAAAACTAAGAAAGTGTGCATGCTTACCAACTCATGTTGTCTTCCGAAAGACAATTTTCTCAAGCTCCCAATCAGCTCACCGCCGTAGTGACACATCTAAAAACGGGATTTTCCCTCACAAGTAAATTTTAACAATCGAAACGCACTGTTAAACTGATCAAGTTTTTGCAGGCGATAAATTTGGGGATCGCACACGATGAACGTACCATCCACAAACAGCCAACAGGAATGAAGAGACGCGGTAAGACTTTGGTGAGGACCGCGCTCAATTTCCGTGAGGAATAAATCGGTAAGGAGTGTCCCCAAAGGGGACCGCATTGCAACTCCGTCTATTTGGCAGTAATACCTTCCGCCGCACAAAAAATGTTTTTTAACTGTGCAGCGCAGATGTAGTGCTTTCACCATTTGGATAGGAATAGAATAGTAACGTTACTGTTGGCTAGGCACTCGCTAATGAGGTTGACAGTCTCGATCAAGGGAAGGTTCGTAAAAAGTGCCTCCACGTCGAATGAATGCATCGATTTGTCCTTCACCTTTAGGCTTGCTATTTGTTCTACAATATTAAACGTATCACTTACAGGATGTATTGATAACTCTTTGCATAGTGGTTCAAATAATTAAACAAACCACTTGATAACTGAATGCACGGGTGAGCGGGACAGGTCGACAATCGGTTTCACTGGTACATTGGGATTATGCCCTCTTGGTAGTCCGTAGAAGCGAGGTGGATGCGCGCCGGCACGGAGTTAGATGTTCGAGTAAAAGGTCAGTAAAAGTTTCGGTGTTTCGAATCCTTCAATAATTTGGTCTGTTTGATTTCTTCATTCGCGGTGCCATCCTACTATGTCGGATCAAGCATCAATTTAATCGTGCCCTGAAGAATAGCGTGCACATTTAGCAATATAATCTAATTTATTCATCAGCACCCAACCCGATCCTTTGTCTGGCCGGTAAGAATAACGTCAGAATTAGAGGTCATTCCTTTTAAATGTTCCTTGTCTTCATTGGTGATCATTTTCGATGGTAGCGGCTTTGGACTCAAATACTGCTGAGAAAGGTCCACAAGAGTGCTCTTGAACGTGTCCCTGGCGAGGGGAGACATAGGGGTCAGGTCAGCCATATTTATCCGCCCATGCCCACGATAATGTTCATGTCGTAGCAATACGAACGGAACTGATGTAGATAGGACTCCTGTGTTCATTTGCTTAGCAATGAAATAACTAAACACATTGGACTTAGGGCCGCTTCAGGTTGCAGTAGCTGTTCTGAATGTATTGATTGTGAAACACATCTACTTAAACTTATACCGCTTGGAGAGTTTGAAGCCGAACTTAGGGAATCATTAGCTTGGGTGTGTGAAACACCAGATCTGCCCTATGCACCGATAGGCGTGGAAATGACCCAATAACACTTTCTTGCAGTAGCAGGATCAAAAAATAAGATTTCCAAAGTATTTTGAGGCGCAGGGCAGATAACATCAGTTGCAACAATAATCCTTAGGATGCTTATCGATCCAAAGGGATCTTTTCTAAAATAGAACACACCACATTAGTGAGGCAGTGCAAAATCGGAGCAAACTAAGTGTTTGGAGAATGAGTAAAAGGAGAAGAAAGGAGAACGAATTAGTGAAAACGACAACTAGTACGGCAATAGGCGAAACCGGAATAAGACCGACAAACGTCTATAACCGTAGGCTGTGAAGCTCGGGAAGATTCTGAACAACCACATTCCAAGTCACCATACCATTGGGAAGTTAAGAGTGTAGCCCACGAAAAGTGAAAGGATTGTCGCCTTTAATATTTAGTGAGTCCTCACTGTTGATCAGCTACTACAGTGATAAACAGAGGAGCTCACAGTACTGGAGGCCAGACCTGTCCCTTTATTGCAGTAACATGAACAGTACTAGTGGTTGAGACAAATTGAGTGGATGCTAGTAACCAATCACGTCGATCCACTACCATGATACAAAACTCAGTGTCTTAGGTCACTAGGTTCTAGCATCATAGGAAATTGTGCATCACTTATGAGTCCCAAATGGAGGAGCACAGAAATTGTGCGACTCACTGCAGGATGTATGTTAGTCATGTATTTGAATCTGCCTGCGATGGATTTACCCAAATAACTTCTGAGGTCCTCGAATGCTTTAATTAATAAACAAAATTTCAATCGCGTTTATAATCTTAAAAGAAACAGTTGCAAAGAGAACTCTTTTCACCCTATAGCATCAGGCAATTACATTTACAAGCTAGATAGAAATGTTGGTGGCAATCGATTCAAAGATTAGCTGCTGCTCATTCTCCTTAATTACGCCACTGATAGACTGCCTATACGTCACGAAAATTCTAGGCTCTTATAATCTCGGAAGACACAGTTCGAAAGGGAACTCTTTTCGCCAAAGCGCTCCAGGCAATTATATTTACAAGGTAGATAGAAATGTTGGTTGCAATCGATCCCAACGTTTGCTATTACTCGTTCTCCTTAATTACGCCCCTGATAGGCTACTTGCGACTCACAACAAAGTTACGCTTACTTGCATAAGCATTTCTGCTTTTTGCTTCGAGAGCACTTCCTTCTCCTCATTTAATCGAGACAGCAAGCTGGATTGTCGCTCGGCGTCTCTCTTGAAGGCATTTAAGTCATCCAACATTGCTGCTTTTTGTCTCTCAGCACTGTTTAACGCCTCAACTAGAGCCAAACGCTCATGTGATAATTCCGATGCCTCCGCCTCTAACCGACTTTTGGCTGTCTCCAAGCGAGAAGCCTGTTCTCTGACATGTTCCAGTTCCGTATTCAGGTTCCCGCGTTCCATGTAAAGCTTGTCTAACTCATCTCTGAGTTGATGTCTTTCGGCTCGAAGACTGGCTCGCTCTTCTGTCAGACGAAGTTCACTGGAATGTGCCATAGCGTTCTGCTGTGTGAGATGTTGATTATCACGTTCGTGCGTGTCAATCATCACTTGTAACTGAGCCACTTTGTCTTTTAGTTGGTTTTCAAGGAAATTGGACTGGAAAAGAGAAAGATAGTGGTTGTTTAACAGAAACACAGGTGTTTCCATGCACAACCTACCCCAAAAGGGATTTGGAACAATTCAACTGATGCATACGATGATTGGCACATTTCTGAAACATAAAGGGTTTGCTCACAAGTTGCACAGCTAATACTGCGCAAGTGTGCTTATACGCTTGTATGAGAAGCACACCTCAGGGATTGTAGTATTGTTTATACGAATTCCTGGTACAGTATGACACTTACGGGACTGTGGTTTAATGTGAAGCTGCTGGTTAGGAACCGTGGATTAGAGCTCTGAGGCTCGGTACATAGCCAGCCTGCTCAACGTTGGCAACTGCGGGAGATTTATAGGAAGCTGTCAAGTAAATGAAATTCAGGAAGACGTTGACACTGGGAGACAAGAATTAGTATGTGTGCGCTGGTACCGTGATTACAGCCAAAACTCGTAGCTTTAAACATACTTAAGCAACAATTTAGTGCAAACTTAGAAGACAGCTTATATAATTCAGCTCTTAATTGAAAGTAAAGTGGCCTTTTGGGCTGTACCTTTGGACTACCGATTACGATGTCTATTTTTGGCCCATTTTGCTTCCGACATCCATGTTGGCCGAGTGGTTTCGGCCAACTTTAACAAACGTGAGTTCTCTGTTTCGGCCCACCGATAGGTTGAGGGAAATAGTTCTTTCAACGACCAAAAAGTGTGAAAGAGTCCCTCAGCAAGTGTTCACATCACTTCCGATTTCTTGACACGTACTAACTGTGTTAGCCTTCAGTCAAAGCCCTTGAATCTTATGTGGATATCCAAGTTCAACCAGTCACTTGCAACTAACATTCATGGTTCGTAGATTGTATGAGTGGACTCAACCGAAGTCAATGAAGCTACAAAGCAATTGTTTGCAATAAGTGAATAAGCAGATGCTTGACAAGCCCCTTAGGATGGTTGCTGAGAAAATTTCTACCTGAGAACATAGCGCTAGGAAAATAAGTTGGGCATGGCTGTCCACACTAAGAGCTTGCTTTGGCACAAATGTAATTATTCCTATCTGAATTTTAAGGGGTCTGATGAGTAGAGCGTATTTTGTTCCCTTTTTCCTCACTCTACGGACGTGAGTTGTGTTAACGCATCATATCCCAGTCTTTGGTGGAGTAGCGATAGCTTATGCGCGGGAAGAACATGAGTTGGAAACGTGCTCCACGATTGAGGCACAAGCAAAGGGAAGCATAATTTTCGGCATTTGAGTCAGCTGCAGTGAGAAGGCAGGTAACCCTCATGGTTGTGCATTGATTGCGTTTAGTGAGATGATAGAAAGAAGGATTAAGGTTTTTCGGGATTTTCTACATCATGATAAGATCCGCTTGCGAGCATAGATAACGTCCGTTGTGTACGGTTATATATGTTTCGGCCTGAGTTGGTAGATAGGGTGGAACAAATCACTGGCGTTGATAGCTATCATGTGTTACACAGTCTCGAAAGCGATGTTTGTGCTTAGAAAAGGGCTGCCAGAAGTGGAGAAATTATCCGCTTCACTTACGCGACAAGCATTTGCGGGAACTTCCCGAACTCCATCCGCAGAAGGCCACAGGGGTGAGTTATATGCTTTGACACATTTTCAGTGTACTTCGAGCATCAAAGTTCATCTTACACAAGCAGTCCGAGGTCGCTGTCGTGGGAGGCGTGCTGCAAAAGTTTTGACCTTGTCGTGAGTCTTAGTGACCTAGGCTCAGCACTATGTGGAAGGATGAGCTGAACTGGAGCATTATGTCGGTTGAATAATTATAAGTCTTATCGAGTTAACTTAGCACGGGAGATTGAGAATGTAGTTAAAATTAAGTAAGAAGATTCCTGTACACCTCTATCGAATTATGAAAAATCCAAAAAGTTTAGTTGTGAATCGTCAGCGATTGTGTTTGGTCAGTTAATTGTTTATCCTTGTTCGGTTAGGAATTCATATTTGTGTCATTATTTCCAGGTATACCATGTCTTCTTTTGGCATTGTATGTGCATCCTTACACAAAAGCACATGTTTCCGAAACAGTCATCGATATGTGTTTTAAAACACTTCACAGAATCGGCCTCTATTAATCCTTCTGGTGGTGTATTCCATAATTTTACGATTCTTCGTTCCATACAAAGCTGATGTGATACATTGTTCATGCAGGGGACCCTGAGTTTGTAACGGTGCTCTCGGGTGTTACAGGGTTCCCGCAGGTGAAATATTGACCGCAGTATGGGGAAGTGGTTCAAGTGTAGTACTCGATAGGTCATAATACGGTCAAGTCTTACTCAGCCGGAGGACAGTGTTTAGAGTCCGAGCCTTTCACAACGCACTTCATACGGAAGCTTTCGTCAACTCGGCATCATTCTACTTGCGATATGCTGTATTTTCTCCAGCTTTTCAGTTTCCCACTGGGTTTTTGGAAGGTAAGCTGGGGCACCATATTCAAGGATCGGTCAAATAAGCGAGGTGAATAGACGGGGGACGGTTACTTCGGACCATGAGGAGAAGCTGCGTCTTAATATCCAGAGCATACGAAGTCACGCACGGTAGAATCCCTCTGTATTTTCTAATGATCTCATATCATGTTGCGAGAGCACTCCTAAGTCTCTGACAGATGTGTTGGGATGGAGCAACTGGCCGTCCAAGGTGTATGATCGAGTGGTTAGACGCCTGGTGATACTGATGAACTCCGGCTTCCTTGCGTTAAGAGGGTTACTTTTCAATGAACCAGGTTGACAGTCGCTCTAAGCCATGCCGGAGGCGAGCGCAGCCATCCTGGTTCTCAATGATCCTCCAGCTTTTCAAATCATCTGGAAACAGGGCACATGGTGACTGGAGCTGCTGCGGAAGATCGGTGATATGAATAAGAAATAATACTGGCCCGAATACAGTTCCTTGAGGCACGCCACTGGTCGATGAGAACCAGTCTATCAGTTAGTCATTGAACTGCCCTCTAAATTTTCGTCCCACAATAAACTCGTGTGACCACTAAAGTAGCGTGCCACCGATTCCGTATGTCCTCAGTTTACGAAGGACTACGTCGTGCTTCACTCTGTCAAAAGCCTTTATAAAGTCGATGTAGACCACGGCAACATCCTTCTGTTCATTGAGAGCTCGTACTCACTGGTGGTTTGTGTACATGTGTGATCTCCCCTTACTTCACTAGCAATCAAAAAGCTGACGTCAGAACCTTCGCGAGATATTTTATGAAGACAAAATACAGTCGTGATCCAGGTAAAGGTCATCAAGCAAGTCAACGCTGGACTTCGAATAGATCAGGAAAATTGTTACCGGTCTTCGTTCTGAGACAACCGCGAAGGATGCTACCTATTCAACACAGTAACAGATCACAGATTCCCTAGTCTTAAGCTTTGCAAGGTAAAATGCTATGATCCAGCTAGCTTAAAGCCTTGCTAAAGTCTAATTAGCAAACATAAGCTCCTACCCCTGTATCAAGAGATTCTGTCTTGAAAACACTAGTTACTAGTTGGTTCTTAATGTATAACCGATTGTAGGGAAATCCGCGCTGCTCCAGAAGGATGCTTTTGCTATTGTGTATGCATTTCATGGGTACCTCAGTGATAACCGACTCCATGACTTTGGAAATCACCGAAATGAAATATGTAAGACGGTATTTAGTGGACTACACACGGCTACCGCGCTCACAAATTAGGAGGGCCACCCGATACTTCAATTCGGTAAGAAGCTGCATTTCATCAAAACTTCCTTGAAAGAATCAGGCCAAGGATCCAGGTACAATCATCTCAGGGAACTATGGGTTAATGCCGTAAGCACCAAGGGGTTGGGATGTGATTAAATCATTCGACCTAAATGCCACCGACTAAGACGAAACAACCTCGACGTATATTTTATTCCTCAGTTTTCTTCACCGGTTATGCTTACAATGAAGCATTTTGACTTCGATATGATTTAGCACACTTTCTGGATGTTCCATAGATAGTTCGTCTTTACTCAATCATGTTTTCAATGCGCAGTTCGTTAGCTCCATGCTTCACATCCAGAGTCTCATCGGCATTGGCAAAATCCTCAGTAAGTATTTAGGCACGATACATGTTGAACGATTCGAGTTGCCAATGCCTTTGTATTGTCTTGAAGAAAATATCGATAGTCCTGGAAACAATGATAACGCCTAGTTAACAACAAAGTATGACTTAAGAAAATGGTACACAGGCCACTGTTGTTGAGGAATTCAGAATGAAATGCCGGACACTTCCACACCGAGGCCCAAATTGCTGTTCGCTCAGCCATCCCTGACATGCTGAATATGGTAACCCGTAAAAGCGTCACCGAGTGCCTGCAGAATTAGGTGAACACATTATGGGCGAATAAAGAGTTGGTGGACTCACTGTTATTGTTTTTTATGAACTAGTCGGGGAGAAAAATTCAACACACATCACCTAACGCCTTACCACATTTTGTTTTCTATTTCTCAGGATGATTGCAATTGTTGCACCGTTTCCGTTAGTTTCTTTGCAATTCAAATCAAGAAGCAAGTCAAATATGTGCTCTATGAACCCACCAAGTGGTTATTTAGCTGCCAAATTAAAACACTCCTAGTGTTACAGCACATTCTTTACCGTGCTTGAAGTCATAAGCACCGTAGCAGAAATGCCGGTTGCGGGGCCTCCAGGTAGGAGATACGAATGTGCTGACTTCGCTCACTAGCCAGTTAACTGTAGGCGGCACCAGTGTACTGATCACATGGTTACATCTCTGCTCACTCTCCTCACTGTATTAAATATAGTCATAACTTGCTCCAAAATCACCCATTTTACCCCTGTTGGGTTGGTACTCGCGTTTGTTAGAACTCTCTGGACAGGTTGCAGGCGAATTAACGTTGGAATCGGGTGTTGAGGACTCCCAAACTACGCAACAATCATCCCTGCAAGTTGCAGCATAATAAAATTACGGTCATTTTGCTTCACTCATCGCACCTCGCGTCCGAGACAAGTAGAGACGCTTATCAGCGTACACCCGAACCGTCGCGTAACACAGGCCGATCAATACACGCCGCCGTTTAGTGCGGATGTGTGCGTTTAACTGCGAGACGTTTGATTGCTGAACCTGGCAGTCTGTGCGCGACCGCGCGTGTGAGAGGCGGTGAGACCTCCATCTGTCTCAGCTGACTGACGGTGCGGGTTGAACAACCCTCAACTCGTGTGACGGTTTTGGGTTTGTGTGTCACATGCACGTCCGGATAGACCATGCTGCAAACGATAATAGGGCAACCAGCATTCCAAACATGGTGCAACGTTGCTTACGGGCTATCGAGAATTACGGCCAAGTCCTTAAGATCGGGTTAACCAGTTGTATATGCCTTAGATCGTACTGTCCACAATGAATGAGCTAGTAGGTCCACGAAGTGAAACAGACAAACCAAGTGGCCAACGCAATTTATTTTTTGTCCAAAATGTCGAGCCATTCCAGTTGTCAACAGTTTACATTTGCTCATGAAAAAGTGCGAGAGGACGACTGAGATAATCGCGCACTCGGAGGTTAATATGGTCGCGCTAATACTTCAACCGAAGAAGAGAGTTGGACGCTCCAATCGCACTGCAACTCCTGTGTCTCTAAATCCTCTGGGTCGCCACATATCCATAAGCGGACAAGCCTCAAACATACTTTCTTCCACTCCTCCAACCATGGGCGCTTCATCTGGAGGTTCAGCCATGGTACCGACAGCTCAGACCCGGAGGCAATCCGGTGCACATAATAAGCAAGTGAGGTACGCATCGATTGCCTCGATAAACACACCGGGAGCGACACATGTAGGTCCATTTTCTGTACCCAGCACAGGTTGGGGCGACGCACCCTTCACCGTCAACTCCAGTGAGCCCTTCTAAGTATCCCAAATTACCAGTAACCACTCTAAAACCGACACTCGCTAGACAAAACCACTCTGCTCACGAGAGTTAACTCTCGTGAGCACCAATGTTCACGAGTCCAAATCTGGCAAAATAAAAGGCAAGCTGTTAGACGATCACAACCAGTGGAATTCCATCTGCGACGCAATTGATATTCGGGTTGAGCCTAGTATACTGAGACGCCCAGTGCGTCACCCCACCTCATTGCACACTGGTGAACCAGGAATTCTTCGAGTAACACAGAACTCTGCAGATGAGCAGGAGACTGTTTTGCTCTCAACAGTTCGTCTTCACAACTCAGCGAGCGGGGTACTCATCTTATCCGATCTTCCTTGGAAAGATCGCGCAAAAGAAGCGGATGACCAATGCGGCATTCCCAACAGCAATAGCATGAAAACCATATCTGTTCATGTTGTTCCCGAGCTTCTGGATTCTCCTGACATGATGCGCAAACACAAATGACCTAAAGCGGTGGCGCTATCAGCGATGCACTCTCACAGGACAATGTTATTGCCAGAACATTGATAAGTGTTGCTTGCATTGGATTATAACCTTCTACTGGATTTAGGTTTCATATGGACCCAAGGAGGCGGCGCAAACTGAGCGCCCATATTTTAATTTTCACACGGTTTACGCCAACAAGCACTGCATCCCGTGTTTTTCTGTATACTTGCACTCGATTTTTATCTGACACTGACGTCAGTTATCACGTTATTTATCCCGGCAGACGTTTGGTGGATGACACACATATAGTTTGATTTCATCGTATTCACCCCAACCATCCTACGTGATGTGTGAAGCACCTGCTGTTATCTTGTGACAAACCATTCTGCCCGGTTCCTTGTTCATTGTATACCTCAACGACAGCGCGCGCCGCTGGATAAGCCGGCATTCGACGGCTCTGGGGTAGGTATAATAGCACGTTTTTGTGAGCAGCAAATAGTGGAACTCACGACCATTTGATGATACGATATCAAGTGTCATCCAATCGCCGGGCACTATCGATGAGCTCCAAAAGAATGATCCAGCTCTTCACTCGGCGTATAATGGGTCAAACTGACGATTGTTTCGTCCTAGCTACTGCAAATTCGAATCAGTTCCACTGTCAAACACTGATACCAACTACCTTCATTCCAAGTTGTGTTTAATACTGAACTGCATGATCGACTTCGTCCTTGTTCAAACTAATCAGGTAGCGATGACCGGAGCTGGGACACGAACGCCGGGTTGTCGAGGTGCTAATAAACGTCATGAACAATCCACCATCCTCTTCAAGTGAAGCATTTGTCTCTTCAGCTACCGTTTCAGTGGCCGGAATGAAAAGGGTTCAGTTCAAAGTAGATTGTCGTTTCCATTAGTACGCTGTGTGTTGGTGGTTGACAGGCATCGCAAGCAAAACTGACTAGCAGAGATTGAACTGCTAAACGAATTAGCACCGCCATCGCAAGCTGATCCTGAGTACACGAACCAGATGAACAGTGAGGGAAGGATTTCTGGATTTTGGAGCAGTCGCTGTATGTCATGGACTGCGACACGCAATCTCTATCGTGGCCTCGGTTGACTTTGAAGTCAGCCTCTAGCAATACGGGTACTGTTAACATCACCGAAGTGGAGGGTTTCGGTGTGGCGCTCTCCTATCCCTGCACTCTACGACCGACGGTTTCATGTTCGTTTAGACTCATCAGCTGGAGATAGCCAGTGGTAGGAGTAGAACTCGGGGATAGTGCTTGGCGACTATCTCTATCTCAAGTTGTTGAGTTCAAACAATGACGAAACCGTCGGTCGTTGAGTGAGGGGATAGGCAAAAGCCACACCGAAACCCTCCACTGCGGTGATGGTCTCAGTGAACGTATTAGCAGAGGCTGACTTCAAACTCAGCCGAGGCCACGTTTGAGATTGCGTGTCGCAATACAACACACACGGCGATTGTTCCAAAACACAAAAAATCAACTTCTCACCGCTGTGTCAAGCACTGTTCGTGGAGCTCAATTACCTAGTTATCATGGCGATAACCACCAAGCACTATACGCGGAGTTCCACTGCTAGCTCCGCTATCTCTACCCGATGAATCTAAACAGAGACAAAACCGTCGGTCGTGGAGTGCGGGGATGGGAGATAGCTACACCGAAACCCTCCACTCCAGTGAGGAAATCTTTTTTAGTATTATCAGTCAAAAATAGTCTTAGTCAGGAATAAAGGCAAGCGAGCTGCCCGCGAGTTGCTCATTATATATACTAGGTAGTTTTGTAGCTACTAAGCTTTGGTCATCGCTTAAATTTTCTTCTATATGTTCGAAGGTTAGGCAGTAGTGACTAATTACGACTGTCCGATCTATATGAAAACTGAATCACATGAAGTAAACAGGGAAAGAACTAAAATTTACGTAGTATCAGCGGGTCGTTTTCTATATTCATGTCTCGTTATCGGTCATTCCACAGTTTATTAGCCGACTTACTTTAACCCTTTAACGTCGAACTCTACATAGTGTGAAAATGTTCTCCATCCTGACACTGGTGGGTTATACTGACGTATACCAAATTTGTTGGAGTTTCTATTTACTATACATGCCTTGTGGATAATTGAATTAATGCATCAGTAGCTTTGGAAGGACACGGACAGTAAAAGCAGGAATATCTCGTTTTGTAGAGTCCTCATTGTCGGCGTTGTGATATTTAAACTACACCGGCGATGTTCAGTTAACTGCCGAGATATATTCAGTGCAGCTTAACTTGTTACACTTAATGTTTACATTGTCCGTAGTCATGTTACGGTCAAAGCCGTTACACATTCGAAGCTGTTTGGGAGACAAATATCGTTCATTGCTAACATATCACGAAGCAGTGCAAAACCTGTTTGCAACAGTACCACTAAGTGAAAAGGTTGAGGTGAGGAATATACTGAGAGTACTTGCGAGCTCTGAGTTCACTTCAACAGTGCGATAGACCAGTTATCTCTTTTGCCTACCTTGTACAACTTCTGTTCCAATTCATCTACCCGTGTTTGTATTCGTGATACATTTCCCACAGCGTCGGCCTTCTCTTGAACCAACACATCCTTTTCCAATTCTGTACGTCGCAGCGATTCGCGAATTCTCGTCAGTTCTTCCCGATAAGCAGCTGCACGTTCTTCAGCGCCTTCCAGTGCACCTTTAAGGGTAGAGAATTCGCGTACCTTCAGGAGAAAACAAACTTTTGATTAGTGTTTGGTCAAATGGAGTGTGTAGAAATCAGGAAGGTCATAACTGCAAAACACCCAAAAATCCTCTTCATTTTGCTCAACGGCCAAGTCACTGGCGGATTCCATGTGGATGAGTTTGGTTCAATGGACTGATTGCTAGACAAAGTAGATCTGAGATATTACTTTACGGACGGATGAGGTAATTGCACTCTATCTATGCTGGACAGGTAAAGTGGCTACGCTTGTTTGACTTGTGCTGATTTATCAAACGGACTCTTTCGAATCCCCCAAAAATGCGAATACATCCCTCTGCGTAAATCAGCTAGCCACATGAAAACATAAATTGTACACACTACAGAAGTTTGGCGATTTATTGACGGTTGCATACAAGATGATAGGAATGACTACTTGCAAATTTATTTTAGGGTGTTATGAACATACTGTGAAATCCGATATACAAGATAGCCTCCAAAAGAGTAGTACAGGTTGGCTCCACTTAGGTCACACTGAGATATCGTATCAGACGCAGTGTCTCCGGATTGCGTGGAATAAAGTTTTTATGATATATGGCTTTTAGAGATGATGCCACCGAATCGTTGGAACACTTGGTGTTTATACAGTGACTGTAAATGCATCTGTAAACTGAACGATCCGGTAACAATAAGCACGCTGATGGCTGGTCGATTAAACAAAAGGTGCCGGCTCGCTACAAGCAGATGGCAAGTATAGCAGACGCCACCCACGCCAATCGATTATAAATACATGGGTTGGATGAGCGATGCGAAATTGGCTCGATCCTCAATGAGCGAATTGCGCTGTGGTTCCAGAGGGAGCGGTTGTGGATTGCTTAGTGCAGCAACCAGTGAACAGTCAGTTTCTACCAATAAACACATACAGCTAGCATATGACGTTTACAAAGAACTAGCCCCGGAATGGAAGCTAAATAGCATGGTCATCAAAATTTATTTGTGGCAGATATGCCTTTCATGTTCATGGATAACAGAGGGGTTGCACAGCAATAGGGTCGGTGCAAACAGTACAGTGTGCCAATACAAGGCGCAAATAGGTGACCACGATAGTACGGCACTTGACTGCCGGTAAACGATTGGCCTTATCTGCTATTCCTCATGCTTAACCACCACGGAACGAAACTGTAATGCGACTAGGCCGTAAGACAAATGTAGTAGAAAAGAATCCGGCTAAAGGAAGTCACCTTGTGGTGCTGCGACGGACGAAACACCGAAACAGTCGCAAACCACACTAACAAAGATTTCATCAGAAAATGATGGGCACTGTACATAACAAAATGCCATGTGTCTACTACCCTTTACTCGTAGCTCAGTATTTTATTGTAGGGGTTCAAAACGGTATTACCTACAGAAAGCAGATTTAGTTGTGTCAACCCTTTCTGGAGCAGTGTCAAAAGATCCTCAGCGACGAAGAATTACCAGCACAATAACTGTTTACAATATCACTTGTTTTAAAAAGTACTGCTACCTGCGGTCATTTTCTAATCCTAGCTCTTGACACCTAGTTCCACAAGTTGACGTCACAAAACTTAGACATAAGCGTGGCAAATTACTTGAGTATTGTAATCCCAACCATACGCAGCAAGCGCTCGGTTTCCATATAAATCCAATGAAGGTAGTAGACTCCTATGTCACAAAACCAAATGTAGTGAGATTTGTAACTGGTCCTTTGTTTCGTTGAAAACTATTCCGTAAGACAATTACCATTTTTCGGGTAGTGTCTAGCCTCTTACTGTACCAATGTATAGTATTATTGATGTTGAATTTGTCTGCCTATGTACAGGCGGTTCGGAACTATTCGACCGTGCCTACCTTCTTGCACAAAGAATCGACATGTCGGTGATACCTGGGTGACCACATTCACATAAACCTTTCGCTAGTCTGCGCTTGCTGACATTTTAGATAGTACTTTAGACTCAGTTAAGGAAATAAAGTAACTCGTGAATACTCCAAGTAAACCTGACTAGAACAGTAGTCCACTGTATAGGTAAAATAGACTTTAATAAACAACATGTGCAATTCCGGGACATCGGCGTCTATGTGTCTACGGGCATCCTGTTGGTGCACAACATTCCAACGTAAGGGTGACCTGTGAGTTAGATTCACAGTAGCAAAAGAATTGTGTATCTTTTACATATTACACTTTTTTGTTCCACACTCAGTTGTGCGCAAGTTCAAAGTTCCGTTGGTCTTTTATTACTCTTAAACGTCGGCGCAATCCTCTACTCAAGGGTCGAGCTACGCTAATTAGACGACACAATTTGCTGCAATTCGGAACTGGTGGGGTCGGAAGCCGGTAAGAGTCGGAGGAACGCGCACTGTTGATGTGACCCAGAAGGTCGAGTCCACTGTCCGGCATTTTGCCAGACTGTGGGAACCTGCTTGGCTGAGAGGTGGCTAAGGTGAACTATGTCTAAATTACATCTAACTCCCAACTACTCATGTGCATGGCAATCATTGTCTATCCGAAACTAAATGTATCGTCTTGTCCCATGTTGTTTCCTGCTCATATACCATTACGCACTTGCTACCTTAGACATTTCTTACACGTAGCGCCAAGGTTATCCACATTGACGTAAGCTCATCGTTCGTCGGAATCTAGCTGCGGTTCTTCTGACCGAACACTAAGTGAAATAAGTCACCGTAACGTTTAGGTACACTACCGTGAAAGGAAACTGTGTGAAAAAAGTGCTGATTTCCACCCTGACAAGGTAGGTGACTAACGATACGCAAATAATAATCTAAGAATTCTTGACAATTTAATCGGTAAATTTATCAACTGAGCAGTTCTTTGCTCAACGCATTAATTGGCCAGTTGATTAGTCTACCACTTACCATCTGTACATAGAGTAACCAATAAGTTAACCTACCAACCAACTGTTTGAGCAGACATCTACTCAACGAGGCATGTAATCAATCCTTTAAGTTCTTAACAAAAATCTACTCAGCGGCTCAACCAGTCACCAATTCTATAGGCGAAATAAGCATTAACTCAACCAGTTTTCAGTTAATTGTCCAATTCGGTTTCCGTTCTTACCAGACGATCGTGCTCGTTCTGCAGTCTTTCTCGGGAACCGGTTAACTCCTCTGTTTGTTTGTTCGCTTCCAGAACCAAATTTCGTTGACGATCCAGCTCGTGCTGTAGCTCGCGAATCTGTTCACTCATGGTAATCCGCGCCGTTTCTCCTAGTTTGCGTTCCTCCGTCATTAAGCTGAAAGTATATCGAGTAGTGTTAATGTTTATCGCACAACGGTATGGGGCTAACCATGATTTGGCTTGGAAGGAACTTTGTAGGCAAACGTGTGAAGAAAACGCAGTATCATACATTGATACATTCGTTCAGAATTCGCAATCACTGCAGTGGGGACCGATGAAAAACCTAGGTGTCTGTCAAACGCTCTTGCGTTACTATCGTTTTTGCTATTGGTTTCCAGATTTGTGTGGACTAACTGTCTCACCATGGACTTGAGTTTTACGACCAGCTGTCACCACAGGTCTGCTTTGTTGAGGTGATATCAAGAGCTTTCAAAAGCGCACGCCTTGCGAACACTGCATCCCAGCCGGGACTTGATTAGTTAATTGCACAGTGTCGATTTTGATCCACTACGTCTCTATCGTATCCTGTCTGTCTCATCCTTTGTGTGTGTGTGGATTACTTGATGTGCTCGAAACTCTGCGCAGTCACTCGTCTCTCTGTAGTTCTGGTAGTATTGCAACTATGTACACCATACAGAGACTGTGGACCCCGTGGAAACGAAAAACGCAGCCTTAGCCGAAACTTTTACCGGATTACATGGCCGTCGCACGTAAATAGCGTCTAATTAAAGCTAGTATGCACATTCACATCACATATCTGGGAATGGTTCCGGCGCTGTATAGCCAGGATCAGGATCCATGCATCCCCCGGCTTTAAATTTTATCGAAACACTGGGAACTGTAATTCTAAGTATGGACTGCACTCAGTACTTCATCTACCAGCTAGACAATTAGTGGCTCACAACCATCAATCTGTCTAGGGTGTTATGTATATTCCATTGTAGACGGGGTATTGAACCGCTAGTTAGGCTCCCGAATTGAGACGCGTCAAAAATTCCTATTGGTGTTAGAAGCAAAGCCACTTGCGTCCTCCCACCTCCAATCTGTCCAGAGCAGTTTTAAGGAAGTTATACGTATGCAAGTGTTGGTTTGCAGAACACACATGTTTGGTAGCGCGAGTGTTCGCTGGTTCACATGTTTAAGACGCTCCATCTTGAGCACCAATGGAGCAACGGTTTATATGGTGTAAAATCAAATATCTGACTAGTTTCGTTAGATGGATACGTGAAATATACGAAGTGAAAACATAATATAGATAGAAGGAAGCACAAGTTTCATAACTCACCAAGAGGTTTGTAGTACCACAGGTGGGAGTATTTCTGCCGGGAGTTTAAGGGGTGTCTGATACAATTCACTGTTTATGCTGACTTAAGGTCGTCGTTTGATGGCCACTGGCTGCGTCACGTACTGTAAATGGGTCATGCATCGTCAAGTCATTGTTTGAATAGCGACTGGGTTGGGGCATTAGTTACGTACATTGGGAAGGACTTTCACTTGTGGTACTCGGATGGAGAAAACATTTCGTCGACTTTCCAGTCGGCAGTACCGCGTGGTCAGAGTAAAGTGACGGCTGAAGCGGCAATATGCTGCCACCGCGCAGGATAAGCGACGCGATTCCGTGCAGGTGCGCGATCTAGCAATGACGGTGCAACACAGATTTATATCTTCATGCTCTCTAATTTCAGTAGTAAGTATTCAGCGCAGTCAAGTCGCGAGGCTTTTCGAGGAAGCGTAGTATACGCTCAAGTGCGTGCCTACGCAAAAACACGCGCACAAACTTAGTCCAAGTTCCGGCTCTGGGATGATTACAGCTGATGCGGAATGATGAAAATCATGAGGAGTGTTCTTTGATAATGTGAAAAAGTGTACTAAGTATAACCAATTCACAAACAAGGGACAGAAGGCAAACATTTGTTTTCGATGAATTCATCATCAGAACTTCACAATCATATAGGTAAGTGTAACACTTGATACGATCAGTTCAAATGAAATGAGACCACGTGTCGCCCAGGGGCATAAATCAGCAACACAAGTAAACGATAAACGAAAACTAGGGCAAATATTTAGTCGAACGATTGCTCCTGGCCTCAGAATCGTCCATTTAATCTAGCCAGGGTAGCTGAAGTGTTTCGATCAGTTTCTTTTGTGTTAGGAAGGAATACACTAGTCGAACAAGCCAGGACCCCATCGCCTCGGCCGGCAATCCAAACTCATCCGCCCTGATTGGGGCGAACAGAAAGCCAACCAGGAGAAGCGGCCAATGAATGCTAGGTTGAAGTTCCCTTATTGGCTGTAAGTTAACCTTTCCAGAGTTTTCCACGGTCGCTTTAAATATGCTGTGCACGAACTTTCCATTTTACCTTTATAATGAGCGGCGTGATTTGCTAATTCATTCCTGTTGCTCTGCTCGTCCGATTCGTCTTCTCTCTGTCCTGTGGGGGGGCAAGGGGCTTCGGGTTTGATTGGCAATCAAGCGTCCATTTAGGCGAGGGACGAACACTTCATTTTGTGAACACAAAAGCGGTTGATATAACCGAATACTGATTGCATCCGCTATAGCGAGGGTGCGGCGACACAGGTCTTTCGACTGGAGTGGAGCAACGTTGTATGGTATTCGAAACGCGTGGATTGGGTCGACTTCCTGCCCACTATCAAGCAGACGAGTCATAGCAGTGCCAGTTATAGCCCCGGCACCGCCTCGACGCAACTAGCGTGGAAAGTGCTCATTAACGCGCTTCGACAGGTGCCGCGTCGTTCGACCTATGTAAATGGCGCTACAGGCGCACTCGACCTGATAAATGACCATGGAAGCGGTCAGCGTCGGCAACTTGTTCTTGTTGTGAATACGAATGAGGGGGTGTGTTATGAAAGCACACTTGAGCGTCACAGCTGAGAAAGTTTACAGTTGTTGAAATGCTTCTGCCTAAATTCTCGGCTGCAGCGTCCGATTTGAAAGGTACTCTTGTAAAAAGTTCTTTCTTCTCAGCTGTTGGAACCTGCACCTGATCTGGTTTGTCTTATATGTTCTTAGTTAAGAATCAATCGGTCAGGATACCCGTTTTTGCGTAGTAAATTTTAATGAACAAATCCTGCTTGCCTTTGTGGTTAGAAAGATAATCAGTTTTCGCCTTTATCTCAAAGGAACGAGACCATAAAAGTTCGTATACTGGCCACTTCATATTTCCTTCCTGTGGACTTGCTGTTGGACAGAGCCATCAGCCTTTTGAGTTAACAATACACCAAGGAACAGCAACCGATTTTTCGCTTTTTTCTCACAGATAAACAGCAATGCTGCGTGGGCCTGACTAAAGCGTTCAATATCAGCGTCTAGCATAAGGGTTCCCAACCTGGGGGTACTTACCCCAACGGCGTAAAATGGCATCTTGAGGGGGGTAAATATTAGTACAAGAACTGGGTTATCAATTGGTAGCTAAACAAGTATAATAACTAAATCATCCGTATAAAAGTAGGTCGCTAACTACCTAGGCACGTTGGATTAGCCATCAGTGACCAGTCGATAGTCACTGCAACCAGATGCCAAATCTATCAGCTCCCCTAGCTATCGTCAGGCAGTCGTTCGCCGGGTCGAATAATGGAGTCGATAGCAAACTATACCAGTTCCCGCAAAGTTGCATTAAAGGTCCAAAATTTTGCAAAGAAGGAGCAAACTTTTGCATATCGCATAAGCATATCGTTTGCAAACTTTTGATATCGCTTCAACCCACGTACGAACACACAAACATATGTATGTGCAAACATGTTTTGAAAGCACTGTGAATACTCACACGTCCATACGCGCTGTCAGTGACGTGCTATGCAACCAGATACGTTAAAAGTAGGCCAGCAACGTGATCAAAACATGTCATTTTTTCTAGACCATTAGGAAAATGTACACCCATACGTCGAATAGCATTACGACATCCCACAACGCTGATATCCTCGGTGGCTACTCTGGCAATGCGTTCAAGGAACTGCAGCCTCCATTCCATCTACGTCATAAGTTTCTGGGGATCCTCGGCCAGAAGTTCCTCGTAGTGCATTCTCATCTCATTCTTCACTCCGGCCTTCTCCACCTGCCAAACATTCTCGATCGGATTGAGGAACGGAGAGTATGGGCTCAATCTCAGTATGGTTACTCCATCGGATCCATCTACTGACGACAGTTCTTCCAGTCGTGTGTGACATGGTGCATTATCACATACCACGACAACCTGCCTGAGCTCCATCTCCCGTTTCAGATTGTCCAAATAGCTTCGTAGCCATTCGAGATATACGGGACCTGTGAATGGGTCTTCCGGGTGGTCATCGACACTGTCCCTTCCATCGTGAATGCACCGATAAAATACAGGCACTCACTCCTCTGGGCGCTCGACCACGAGTACATTTGCAGTAAACTTTGAAGTTCGCTTCGTCAATCCAAATAAAGTACTTGCCATCGTTCTCAAGCTGGAGAAACTGCTGAACGAATTCCCTGCGTATCCCTTTGGTTCGCTCATTGTTCATTCCCTCGGGAACCTGATAGATGTTCTTCATAGTTAGCAATTGACCATCCAGGCGCCATGCGATTGTTGACTTCGAAATGTCCTTGTCCATATTTACTCCTACTCGTACCCGCATTTCCCGTAGCGCAAGAGTTGAGTCCCTTGCGATTACATCCAGGATATCATCTACATCTTCCTCCGACAAAATCCGCTTACGGCCGCGCGCCTACGTAGTACTCGGTTACTGATCAAGAGAACGACGGATCCAGGAGTAGGCTGTTTGATATTTGACTTAGTTCATGGTTGCCACCAGCTGCCAGTCATCACCGCTGACGAAAGCGCCCAAAATTCGGTCACGAATGTCTGATGAGATACTCTGGCGAACGCGAGATGATATACCGACACGTTAGTATCATAGACATGGTTTCGGTCGTGCGCTTATGTTCCAGCTGTTTATTGCGCTCAGACCAATTGTGACCCATCGTTTTGGACATGTGGGGGGCGCATACAAGCCCGTTGTACGGTCAAGGTGCATGCCTCTAAGGTTCATTCACAAGTCTCACCCAGTCAACGGGCAGCGCACTCACCTCCCCAGACAACGCACCGAACCTTGGCATCCAGCCAATGAGAAAAC